CAAGTGCATATCCTTTTGAGATATCAATTATAATCAATTTTAATAAAACACAAGACTACATTATAAAACTCTAACAGTAGGCTATTTAATATCTGTTGTTCTCCGGTTGTCAGTCAAAATGACAGTTCTTGCGTGAACATTATAGGCCTATATATACCCAAGCCGATTTATTATTCCTTCCTTTTTGTCTTAGTGTTTAAATATTTATTTTGAAACGAATTAATTAATTAATTAATTAATTAAACAAACAGACTTACTGGGTGAGCAGGCTTGGCTATGACAGCTGTCATATCATACCATGCCATGCCCAGCTGATGCAAAGAATAGAATTTATATCTACACAGAAAGCCCTGTCTAGACTCTGCCCCAGTATGTGTTGTGTCGAGCTATTCATTAGCCTGTTTGTTTGATGAAAAAATATGAAATGTGGTTGCAATAAATGTGTTAAGAATCCATACAACTGCAGCAGCAGAGGACTATTATTCTGCTGCGTGATACTGCAGAAGAACTGATGACGGCACGGTTTGATCTTCGGCTGACCAATCAGCAGAAAGGGGTGTTTAATTCCCGCCCACATGTAGAAATCGAATATTCAAGCTGTTTATTCATTTTTCTATCCTTGAACGAAAAATGAAAATTTAAGCTGAATTCTCGTTTTTCGTTTTTTAGAAAAAAACGAAAAAGGAGCCGTTTTCTACTTTCAATATTAAATCAAAAAACGAATGATCGAATGATACACGGATTGTGATCCTTTTTCCAACTCAGTGATTCTGTTGTTTTTTTTTATTTTTATTTTATTTTTCCAACATGTTGGTATTATATCTTTCTTTGGTGTTATATTATTTTAAAGGGGGGTGATTATTTTCTAGACCCACTGTATATAGGCTAGTTGGTCACAGTAGCACTAGGGGCCGATCTAGACAGGAGAGATGCATCATGGTAATTTCTCGCCAAGGTCTATCAGTTTTTTGGGCTGTATATTCTGCTCCCAAAAAAATAAAAAATAAAAATCTGTTAATAATTGCTTAGGACAAATTTTAACTTTTACTGACATAGTAGATACTTTTATTATTTTTTATTTTTTATAATTTTAGTTACAAAATTGCTGTATATCCAATCAGTGACCGTTTATTGTGTATTTATTGTGTAAAAGACACACTAACTAAATAAATAAATAAATATTTATGATCAAAATTATATTATACTAAACAAGATGATATACTGTATCGACATTTACATTAACATTTTGTGGATTTTTTTATAAATAAAAATAGTCACCTAATAATTTACAGTGAAAACAGGATGTTATTAGACGTTCATCTGAGACAGTTTTTATTTAAATAGTAAATGTTTCTGTGTACTTTTGCTGTCAGTTGTCTACATTAGGGTGTTACATTTTATGTTGTTTATTTAATGTTTACTGCATTATTGTGTTGTACTGATGGTGTTTTGTCTTTGTGTGAGTAACACTTTAAAGAATAATTCACCCTAAATTGAAAATTCTGTCGTCATTTAGTCACCTTCAAGTCATTCCAAAACGGTATGACTTTCTTCTGTGAAACAAGAAAGAAGATATTTTGAGAAATGTCTATTGGCCATACAATAATGGTCACATAAAAGTTCTGGTTACCAACATTCTTCAATATCTTTTTTGAAGTCACACAAGTTTGGAATGACATGAGGGTAAATGATGACAGATTTGTTTTTTTTATCTCTTTAATAAAATATTGCTAAGCAGTTAATGAAATATATGATTTATCATAACCCATGATCCTGCTTACATAGCCCAGTCCTGATGTCTGTATCCAAAAGCACTTACATAACAAAACCGAAAAGGACCTGCGCTTATCAGCTCACGTCCAACAAAAACACATCATTTATTAAGTCTAGACATCCCTGAGGCACACACGCAAACTTGCTCAGTGATGCTATAAACAACAGATGGCTGAATGAGACTACTTCTGCTTTTAGATGATCAAGAGAGCAGACAGCGACAACTCCAGGCACTCTTATCAGACTATGGAAATTATGGAAACAATTAGCAATGTCCCCGTGGAACGTTTGGGCAGGACACCTTGCAGCAAAAAGTGCACACCAGTGGCATGCACAGACGTCCAGAGGGGCCGGGGAATAATTGCATTATGAGGGCATAATCCAGCGGAAATTGCGGTCCGGGGTGTCCCCCTCTTTTATTGAAATCATGGGGCACCTGGATCAGTCAGAAAGGGCACTTTAGCATAGGCAAATAAAAGGGGCAGGGGCTCGAACACCCCTGTGCACACCACTGCTGCACACTGTGAAACGTTTTTTTGCCAAAACAGTGTTTTCTGTTTCCCTTTTTAAACCTCATGAGTGAAACTTGCAGAAAGTGACATAAGTGTTATTGGGGAGATTGTTCAGGCAATAATTGGATCCAACGACTTAACAAGCAGGTTCATGGCATGACTGTGCCGTGCTCATGGCAGAAGTCCAAATTCTTGACGTGCTATAAATTAAAACCGAATCCTGTAAAACAGATACTCGCCCATCCGCTCAAATCTCACTATAAACATTTTCACAAACTGAAAGCATGACCACTGGTCTCCATACTCTTGTTGATTCCTTTGGAGGCTGCCACATGTGCGGGATGCAGTATAGTGTGTCCGCAGTAGTAATCATTTGTCAGGCTGTCGTAGGTGTGGGGTTGGCTGAATGGGAAAGTGGTGCATTCGGGCATAGCTGGGAGCAGATTTATAGATCTGACGCTTGCTCTGACACGAAGTCTACTCACACCAGGACATTCCTCTGTAGAGGCACTAATCCAATGAGTTTACTATGACATACTGTGAGGACATGTAGTATAGTCTGTAGTCATCAACCTTAGCTGCCCAATCGAGTTATCTCATTCTAGGCTTCCTCTTCCACTGTTAGCATTCACATATTAGTATTTCATGACTGCCCATTTAAATGTTTTATTTGAAATGTCATATATAAAAATAAACATTTTGGTAACTTTCCAGTCAGGTTCAATCTGTCAACATAATTTCATGCATTAGGTAGCTATCATAAGCTAATAATGAAAAACTATATTTATAAGCATTTATGAATCTATGTTAGTGTTAGTTTATTACTATACTATAGTTCATTTTTATTCATGTACGTAATACATTGGTAATTTTATTATTTCACTTTATAGGAATTAACATTAATCAGTTTTAATACATTCTAATACTTATCTATTTATTGTTACATCTTTATAAAGTATTAAAACACATGACAAAAAATCAAATTTTAATGCATTTAACTTTGGTTACAATTATTTGTGAAAAAGATATAATGCATTACAACGTAAATTATTAATATTATATATAATAATTATAATGCATTATACATAAAGTCTGTAAGTAAAGTGTTACCTAAATGTATTATTTTATTCAGTAAGGATACATTAAATTGATCAAAAGTAACAGTAAAGACTTTTCCATTGTTACAATAAAATTATATTTCTATTTCAAATTAATGCTGTTCTTTTGAGCTTTCTTTTCATCAAAGAATCATGAGAGGATAAAAGGTGTGTCATGGTTTCCACAAAAATAATAAGCAGCACAACTGTCTTCAACATTGATAATATGAAATGTTATTTGAGCACCAAATCAGCATATTAAAATATTTTCTAAAGGACTGTGTAACACTGAACACTGGAGTAATGTTATCATACCCACCTCATTCAACCAAAGAAAAGAAAACCTATTTCAGTGCAAGTTGTTTTGACACTAACTTCTTTTTTTTTCCCTTTATAGATTCCAAGGACTTCAAATGAAAATTCCGAAAACTCAATTGAGAACTACAATCAACCCTTTAACCACAACTTCACATCAGTTAATGAAATTAACCTTTTGTGTGCTCTTTTTTTTTTTAGGAATCACTAACTTATTTCTTTGTTTACTTTGGAGAAAAATAAAATAAAATGAGGACTGTATTCCTTTGTTCAGATTTAAAAAAAGATAAAACAATTAAACCAGCATCAATAACTCAGTGTGTTCACCTTCTTGAGTGAAAGCTTGATTCCAGAACATTTTTAACCTTAACTCTTATTTGATAGACTTTCTGAATTGCAAGGAATAAATTTCCCTTTCTTGTCTCAAATTTGTAAAATGGAAAAAAAAATAGAAAAAACAAATACACTTGATCAAATTAGAGGAAAAAAACACAATTAGGAATTAAACCCAAATAAACCTGAATAAATTCCCATATGAATTCAAAGCTCAATTTTCAAGAGTCTTGTGATTCAGTACTTGAGGTTCATTCACAAACTTGTGAATGTGGCTGAATTTAGTTAACGACAATGAAATTGTTCGTCACTCAATCTCTCCCATTAGATCCTTCCAAAAGAGAACCGTGAAATGTGCTGTTTGTGCTACTAATTCACTTTCCTACCGTTCAGTTCGGCAACAGCAATGTCAATATCACTCAGTAGCACTTGTTGAAAACTCCTTGAGGCTCGCCAGTCCTCACTCCCTCCGCGAACACGAGAGTTTGGACGAAATCCGGGAATCCAGAGACTCCATTCCGTGGAGCATCGATCTCCATACAGCGTCAGCTCCGATCTTGCAGCACACTCGACAGGGCAACGATGAAACCGAATCAGAAGTAGAAAAAAAACAACAACAAAAAAAAACCTGACCAAGACCACTGTAGGATATCAGACCGAATCAGACAATCTAAGATTTGGTCAAAACATGGTTGAAACATGAGGAGCCGAATTCCACAGAGGCCCAAGACAACAGGATGTTCATAAATCAGATCCTAGCACTAGCCAGTCTGAAGCAAGCCTAACCAACTCTTTCACAGAACAGCTTTCAACATTAACACAAAAGGAACACACTGATCATAACAACTCAGGAAGGAGATTGTCAATTTTAGGGCAAGTAATCAAGATGAAATGGTCAAAGAGATGACAGCATTACCATCATGTGATAGTAACCACAATCACGAGCTCTGTGGATTGACTCCCCCCCCCCACCTAGGAGACAAAGAACAGACTTTCAGAGATTCCTTACAGACCTCTTAATCTCTGGTCTTCATACATTCACAGAATGGCACAGAAACTGCCTTTCCATGCACCAAAATGAACTAAAAGGACTTGTGAGCAACTAATAATTTCTATGCATAACTCCATATTATGTATCCATATGAATTCAAAGCTCAATTTTCAAGAGTCTTGTGATTCAGTACTTGAGGTTCATTCACAAACTTGTGAATGTGGCTGAATTTAGTTAACGACAATGAAATTGTTCGTCACTCAATCTCTCCCATTAGATCCTTCCAAAAGAGAACCGTGAAATGTGCTGTTTGTGCTACTAATTCACTTTCCTACCGTTCAGTTCGGCAACAGCAATGTCAATATCACTCAGTAGCGCTTGTTGAAAACTCCTTGAGGCTCGCCAGTCCTCACTCCCTCCACGAATACGAGAGTTTGGACGAAATCCGGGAATCCAGAGACTCCATTCCGTGGAGCATCGATCTCCATACAGCGTCAGCTCCGATCTTGCAGCACACTCGACAGGGCAACGATGAAACCGAATCAGAAGTAGAAAAAAAACAACAACAAAAAAAAACCTGACCAAGACCACTGTAGGATATCAGACCGAATCAGACAATCTAAGATTTGGTCAAAACATGGTTGAAACATGAGGAGCCGAATTCCA